AAGAAAATCCAACGGAGAAATTTGGAAGCTGATTAGAATGGGCGATCACAATGAAGACTGACCCCAAAGTTTTGCCTATACTTGTTTAATTAAAGATGAGATATTTTTTCTTTTTTGTCCACCCCCCACCCCCCACCCCCCGCTATATATTTCATTTTATTTTTTTTACAAAACAACCTTATCACCTTCAAAGTACCCTCCATTAAACTTATTAAGTTTGTCAAATCTGCAATTCTTGGAAATATTTTTCAAATTCATCTGTTTGGATGGCTGACAGCACCTCCCTCATTTTTTTCTTTCTTTTTTTATTAAGAGACCATTTTATTGGGTGTCTCACAGCTCTTATTACAATCCACACATCAGGTGTATAGGCATATCTGTACATATGCACCATCCTTCTTTTCTAGATATTTAATTTCCATTGAGCCCTTGGGATCGGTTTCTCCCCCCCCCCCACCCTTGTGACCCCTTGATAGATTATATATTATTATTATTATTTTCATATCTCACACCGAATACAGTCTCCCTTCCCCCAATGGTTTCTGTTGTTCTCCCCCCAGAGGTGGGGATGTGGTTATGTGTCAATCATTATGATCGGTTCCCCCATTTATCCCCACAGATGCCCGACCCTTCTGGTATTGCTATTCCCATTCCTGTTCCTGGGTTCCATGTGTCCTGAGCTCTTAGCTCTTATCTGTACCTGTGACATGCTCTGGTCTAGTCTGAAGTGAGAAGCAGCACTGGGGTCATGATAGCGGGGCGGTGAGGAAGCCTCAAGGAACCAGAGGAATATTGTGTGTTTCATTGGAGCTTTACTGCACCCTAGTTGACTCACCCCTTCCCTGCGACCCCTCTGTGTGCTAGCCACTTGGTGCTTAAGTTAAAAGTCATAAAAGTGGAAATGTCATCAAGTTCCATTCTCTTCTTCCAAGTGCTCACTCTTGCCCAATGTCTGTCTGTTTTGTATTAGTTTCTAATGCATTTAGATAGTCCTTACCTATAGTCTGTCCAAACTTCATTATCTGTGGAGAGACCATTGCAGCAGATATTCTGCTGTACTGTGCATGGAACCTCTGTTCTACTTTTAACTAAAAAGAAGAAGAAAAACTAGTGTGGCCATCTGTCCTTGAACTTCCTATAGTTTTGATATCTTTATGTGTTCCACCTATTAAGAATGCATAAGAATAACTTTTATAATTAAAAAAATTAAGATTTTACTATATATGTTGGAAAAAGTCTGTATCTAACAGCAGAAGCAAACAATAAAAACTGCAACTTAACAAAGTTACATTACAAATTGTATATGACATATTTATAAATAAGAAAATTATACTGGAAAATTATACTGTTCTTTCTATAAAACAAAGTTATATGCTTTCATATTCAAATCTAAACCTTGTAAACGTTCAAATGCAGAAAATCTGAGTATTAGTTAAAAGTCTAGCTAGTATATAACAGCCAGTAAAATGTAAAATATTAGAATGGTAGAAAATAAAATAACTTAAGGGAATCATTCTTGTACACCCCCCACCTCCCACTGCTAATCTAGAGAGAAGAGCAAACTTTGAAATAAGTCAACACTCAACTATAAGCCTTAGGCATGAAAAGAAATAGGAAACATGAAGAAATGAAAATTCTTCTTGGGAAAAAAAATAAGCTGGATTTTAAAAATACTAATGACTCAATTTCAAATAGTAATGTCCCATGAACTCACTGAAGTCTTGTTCCAAATGTCTTCAAATTATGACACAGTCACTAGTCCTGGTTCACTGGGCTTTTGTGAAGAACTATGTGTGGTAAAATAATTTAAATCTTTATAAAAGCAATATTCAGTCTCTTGAGCATCACAATGACAATACAGCTATGGCAAATTTGAAAGGCATTGAAGGTATCTGCCATTTTAAAAAAATAACATTTTAAAAGATCACTGATGGTCACAAATGAATATATTGAATTGCTTTCCATTGTTATAAAAGATAAATTATTGCAAATGATCCCTCAATAGGTATTTTGAGTTATTTTGTCAAACTTTAATATTGTTGTTTTCTTTCTAATGCATCATTTTCTGCATTTATTATTAGATTTCTGCTTAATAAATTATTCATGGGCCACCTTTCACAAACCTATGAAAAATTACCCCAATAGAAGAGCAAATTAAACAATCAAATGGTCAATCACATTCTTGAATGGTGATTTTTAAATGTACTTGTTACTTGGCTTACTAGAATTTTGATTGTTGATACATTATAGTAATTTTCACTGAATTATATTCTTCTTCAAGATCGCTGAAAAGAGAATAACATGTATTAAAGATGTTGGAAACCACACATAGAACTTCATTAATGTTAGGATAGAAAAAAATCTTTATTTTTGATGTATTCTCAAGTAGAAAGGTTTCCTAGGCAAATCAATGATGCTTAAAGCTATAAAAAACAGAATTAAGTGCCTTCAAATCATCCTCATGTTCATTGAAAGTATCATTTTACATGTAATTGATATTCTTGTTAGCATGTTCCTTAAGAATTCTTCCAAAGCCAGACTTTGTTAACTTAAGTCTACTTATTGTGTCCTCTTGAAAAGAAACAATAATCTTAGTGTTATCTCAGAGGGATGATTTCCTTAAATAATTAAAATATGTATGTATGCATAATACACATCAAGATATTCTAATTCCTGCTGTGCCGTTTCTATCTGTATTTTACATGAGTTCTAAAACCTCTCTCACTCTCTCTCTCTCTGTCTCCTCCCACCCCCATCCAGTCAAAGCTGAATCATAGCTAGCTTGATAAGACAGGGTTGTTTATGGAAATAGAAAGCCTTTTTCCCCAATTACTGCATCGGAATGAGGATATGGAGGTGGTGGGCTTCTTTATTAAGAAACTTACAGGATTTTTGAAACTAGGTTTCGTCAATGTCCTACACTTTAGGACCTCTCTTTCAGTTTCATCAAAGGTTCTGTCTACTAGTTTGGCAAATGTCCGTTTTCCCCATGGTTTGCTGCTCTGGAACCTTGTTTCTCCTTGTCATTTAGTCCCACAGGACTTCATTGCTGGATATCACCTCACCCTGCTATATACTTCAGTGCTCATACATCTAAATGCCAAATAGACTTCCTAGCTTTTTGTCATTGGCAGAAGACGGCGCCAGCCGAAGGAGGGGCAATCATAAACACCAAGCCTCTGTGGATGATGCCATTGTTCTCCCTGCCAACATTTAGCCGTTCTGTTTTTCCTCTTTGTCTATCCTGTCAGACTATTTACAACCATGCTCTGTGGACTCTTTGGTGCTTATTTGCATCTCTATTTCCTCAACTTCAGTGTCAGTTAGGAAAACCTGGGTGACAGAGCGGGTTCCTCCTCGGGCTCCTAACTGCACGGGAAGCCAGTGGAAACCACTCGTCGCTGTGCTAACTACAGTTGGCATCTACATTGTTTGTCCACTCTCATGTCATTGCTGGGTTTTCTTTAAGCAATTGTTTCCTCTCTCCGGCATGTTATATTAAATATTTAGAGTCTAAACATGGTATTTTATTTTTTATCTGTAATGACTATCTGCTCCCTAAATGTTATCTTGAGATATTTTACTTCAAATTTATTTCTTTTCTTTAGTATTTATAAGACTCATAATCAACTTTTATGGTTTTTCTCAGCTTTGTAGGCTTCTACTGTTAGGTATTATCTCACTGATTTTTAAATAGGTATGATCAAATGCTTCCACATCTCCCGTCTTTGGGGGACCTGGTATGTTAAATGAGTTACTATTATCATCGCTGGGGTCTCAGAACACCTTATTTCCTTCCTCCGGGCACCCATTATGCCACTCAAGTTCCCAATATGAAAGTTTGTTCATAGAAAATGAAAAGTGTTTGACAGCGAGCCCACGCATGGACAGGGCGGCACATCACAGTTGTAAACAAAGGGATTCCCTTGTATAAGAAAATGGCCCGAACTGACAAGAAAATACTGTTTCTCAATAGTATAACTTTATAAAAATTATTTTTATTGATTGAGTTTTTCATGTGATTTTAATATTCTGTTCAGATAAACAATATTTAAATAACCCTGATATATATATATAGTGAATGTGGCCTTACAATCTATAGTTTTATCTTTTGAAAACCTATCTGTGTATTATGTGTGCATGTGTATAACTATTGAAACAAGAGATTGTGCTATATGTAGTCCCTATTTCTGTCTAATGCTTGATCATTTACTTACATATATGATTCTATCTCTTTGAAAAAAACATATGTTCTTCCTTGCATACACACGTACATACACACACGCAGCTCACAAAAATTCTCTTTTTGTACATGAGGCTTCAAAGGGTGTGTGAAAAATTGAATTAAAGATAATGAAAATTTCCATGAACTTTTAAAGACTCCTTGTATACCTTTTTAAAGTATGTATACTAGTTTTTTAATCCTTAATTCTAATGGTCTTTAATTTCACACATGGTCTTAGAACCATAAGACACATCACGGACTTATTTATTCTACATTTTGCATTCAATTATGTAAAAAGCACACCATTCCCATTTTATATTTCAATCTACTGTGGTGCAAATAAGTTAAGTGATTTACAAAGTTGATCAAGTAAAAATTAGGAGTAAATGTCTTGAGAATAAGAGTTCTTAATCAAACGATTCTTAACATACCAGCCACTCCTCAGGAAAAAGACGAGGCAGTCTGCTTTCTTATCAGTTGACAGCCTTAGAAAGTGCTATATGTGTATATGCATCCATAAATAGTTTATGATTCATTGTTCAGCCTACACACACACATTTGCATGCACATAGCCGTGCACACATAGAAACACCTTGAAGAAGAGGCTAAAAGTGAGGATAATATAGGCAAAGAAATATAGCAATTCTGAGGGAGATTTTTCTCTAGATGACTATAAATGGTGCCCAGGCATCTGGTGGAAGTATTCTAAGACTAGGCCATATAAAGCCTATCAGGTATTTGAATAATAATTTTAAAACATTATAATGAAAAATAACTTGCACCCAAACCCAAGGACTGTGGCTTCTCGTAGCAGCTGTTTAAAGAGTGGTGCGCACAGAAAGTGGGCCTTGTCGCCTTTGAGGGGCTGCGCAGTGCCCCTCAGAGTGAATGTGAAGGTTCGACAAGCTTGCTAGTGGGCCCTTGGGGAAAAAAAATAAAAATAAAAGAAATATATAAATTCTCCTTTGCCTCTAAACATGGATTAAAATCATCAACATCACAATAAATTTCTCCAGGGTACAATGCACAGTATTTCCCTTCCTCTGCTACCTGTTCATTCCACATCAACTCGCTAAAAGAAAGATGTTTAACATTTTGATGATTATATTAGGTACTCTCAGCAAGCTACAAAGTATTCCTATGATGACCATAATTGCAATTTTGGGAACATTGCCATAAATAAATAATTGCATTCAGAAAATGATATACACTAAGTCCATTTGCATTTTATCATTGAGATCTCAGTTTTAAGGGTCATCATCTCTGAAGGCTTAACTACATACAAGGGCAACTGGAAAATCTCTCTGTAGCTCAATGTTTTGTTTCCATCATGATTTTGCTATGGAAAATGTGCAACTAACACTCTCAGTATGGATTTTTTTTGGAGCAGTAAGACATTTAGATACATATAAAATGAAAATGAACAAGTAGTAATTGACTGGGATTTGAGTTTAAGGCAATAGACTAAACCCCTCTAACAATGAATATCTAAGCACTCATAGGAAAACATGTAAGGAGTACAAATTGCATAGGGCCCATGGGCTTTCCTGAAATCTTTTAGCTTGCATATGAAAATTTATTGTGATTGGATTTTTACAGCACAGGGATGTTACTTAAAGAGTAATTCAAAGCTCAGTGTGACATTTAAATTTAATATTTTAAAAACTTTACAGTTAACTTCTTTTAACTCCTTGGAAGTGCAAACATGAAGTAGTCTTTTAGTTGAATGAGTTTATTAGCCTTCTCCTTATTTATGATTTAAAGAGAAATCCAATATAGCAGGAAAAGAAAACATCAAATGCACTGTCAAACCACTTGGGTCCCCATTCTAGAAATGTTTAGGTTATCCAAGAGCCCTCGGGCAAGTCACTAAAAAATTCATTTACATGGTCTTTTGTAGTAAGGTAGTGATCACACATATAGAGTGCTGTTGTCATGTTAAGTGGCTTCGATTCAATTCCAAGTCAAAACACCCCGATGTACAACAGAACAAAACACTGTCTCTCCTGTGCCATCCTCACAATTGTTTCTATACTGCGTCTCGTTGTTGCAGCCACTGTGATATCCATCTCTCTGAGGGCTTCTTCTTTTTCGCTGACCCTCGACTTAAACAAACATGCTGTCTTTTCCAGGGCCTAGTCCCTCCTGATAATATGTCCAAAGAATGTAAGATAAAGTCTCACCATCCTTGCCTCTAAGGAGCACACTGGCCATTCTCCTTCCAAGAGAGTTCGGTGTGTCCGTTTAGCAGTCTATGGCACTCTCAATATTCTCCATCGCCACACTTCAAATGAAGCAAGTATTCTTAGCTATTCCCTATCCAATATCCAAATTGCACATGCAGGTGAGGTGAAGGAAAATACCATGGCTTGGATCCGCACACCTTAGTCCTCACAGTAACCGGCTTGCTTTTTAACACGTTAAAGAAGTCTTGTGCATCAGATTTCATCAATTCATGTACATAGTAGGTACTCAAAAGTGTTAGGTGCCTTTATGTCTTATGAATTATTGGAGTAGATTACAATTTCCCAAGAACGGTGTTTCATTTTCCAAAGAGAATTAAAAATAAACATGTGACTCCTAAAATGGGATCGTGTCCCTTGTGTTGGATCCCAATCTCAGATAAAAAACAAAGACTCACTTTCAGGGTTTCATAGAGATAGCACACTGCACTGGTAATTTATATGATCTGATTAACCCTGCACACGGGAAAGTTTGAGGAAACGGCACTAAAGGTGATTAGAGAGGAGGAAGGGATAATAAAATATTGCATTTCACAAGGGGTACTTCCTTTACTAGCCTGGATTTTATTTTTCAGACCCATTTATGAATGCTACAACTGTCTGAACCCTATTCTAAGAAGAGAATTCACTCACATCTGGAGTTATTTGTGAAATGTACCTTTATTGCTGAATCCGTATCTTTAAAAAGCATATCTGATCATGGAGGAACTGAACTTTAAAGTCATAAGTCAAGTATAGTTATCAATTACTTATACAAACTTTAATTTGATGAAAATTGAAGATTGATTGCAACAACAAAATATGCACCACATTTGGGGGAAACATCAAATCCTTCCCATTAATTTCACACCAGTGGGTAAAAAATTTTCTTTACAAATAAAATACAATCTTGCTGTATGTAACACATCGATTCATTTTGGTCTGCCTTATGAGCTATCGTCTCATTGGCATTTGGTTTTGTTTCTTTTGCTTTATGACTAGAGTTAGAAATGGATATAGAACATTAAATCTAAGGTAGAAGACAGAGTTTGCATGAAGAGATATAGCCAAACAGTCAAGACGGAGTAAGATAGGGAAGCTACACAGTAGGGAAGCTTCCAAAAAAAAAAAAAAAGGCTCCCAAATTGGAGATAGATCATCTTTAACAACAGATTTACCCATCTTTGTTTGGTTGGTTGCTTGCCTAAAATCAGCTCTGCTGATGGAGATGATATAACTCAGTGCATTAAATGATATTTTCATTGAAATAAACACAATCTCTGCCTCCCAATGCAGACTTCATTTCTAAAGAGCAACATACACTCGTACAACGGTCCTGGTTTCTAAGGTGCACACAGGTTTGGGCCACTCCTTGCTAAGCACACTGCTGGGAGTGGGTTTGGAAGTCGTTAGAGGAAGTTGCACTGCTAGTCCGAAGAGCTGTCGGAAGGGCAAAGGTATGTTCAAAAGCAAATCCCCTGCCTCAATTCCAACTCATAACTCCCCTGGAGAAGAGAGTGGAAGTGCTCCGTAGAGATACCAAAGGTATACTTTTGTTTTTTAATAGAAGTAGGCAGCCTATCCTGGTTCCACTTAGCAGTCAGTCTTCAAGCACTGAACATCAATAGTTCCTTAAAGACACATTCTTTCCTATAAAGCCATCCCAGCCCAGCCCTTTAGCTGCACAAATGGTTGAAAGCCAGTGCTGATGAGCTGACAGGGCAGCAAAGGACCAAGCCCAAACCCAAACTCATTGCCATCGAGTTGATTCTGTCTTCTCAGGACACTATAGGTCAGAGGAGAACTGCCCCGTGGATTTCCCAGACTCCCTCTCTGTGAGCATAGAAAGCCCACAATCTCTCCAGAGGAACAGCTGGTAGGTTCAAACCGCTGACTTGTGGGTTGGCAGCCCAACTCCTAAGCACTACACCACCAGTGCTCCTGTCCAGCAAAGAGCAGTGGTGATAATTTCTTAAGTCATTGTGGATTTGGCGGGGGGTGGGGTGGGCGGGTGTTCCAAAAGAGAGCTTTTGCTGTCCTTCTATTAGTTCAGCTTTATGACTATTGAGCGTGAACCGAAAATATTGATTGGCTACAGTTTTAGTTTACATTTTGTGGTGGTATCCTGTTGTTTTTTTCTGAATTGATTAGAGAGAGAGAGAACATGTGTGTACGGTACCATCCACAATTCCTCAGTGATGGTGCACAATGAATTAGTTAGTACACAAGACACCGTGAAGATGGCTCATCATGTCTTAATTGGAGTTGTGTAATGGACTCCTAAGGGGTGTCTCCTGACTCCACCTCACCTGATTATTCTTTACTAGTTAAAAAGTAATACTTATAAAGGGTATCCTCATTCATACAGTTGTTTCTTCAATTCTTGATGTACACAGAGTAAATGCTAAATCCCTTCATGTAGAATATAAGATGTTGTCAGCCCTGCCATACTACTTCCCTTTCCCTCAGGCCACTGAAAGTTTCTCTTTATTTCATTCTAGAGCCATAAAAAAAAAAAACAGTTTAGGTTTTTCCAAATCCATAAGACCATTTTGCCCAGGCTCTGCCAAGTGCTCAAGTGACCTTTCCTCTGGGTTTTTTTTTCTCTTGCCTATCTGGAATAGGCTTTTTGATAAAATTAATGTCCTAACTGAACTCAGACATCACCTATGTGGTAGTGACAAGTCTGAATTTACATATATTGTTATTATCACGTATCATATCGTGACCTCTCAGTTTTCTCAGTTAAGCTGTGACTTCCTGGGGGGCATGAGCTCTATTGTTCCCCTCTGCACCCTCAGCCCTCACTTAACTGTTGTGACATGCGCATTTCCAAAACAAGACTGCTTTGGATGATTGGCCATTTTATTCTATTTTAGCTCAACTATCTTGAACATAAAATGTATACTATAATTAGCAAAAGTTACATCTTTATTTGGCATGTGTTGTCTAGAGTTCAAACTATATATAGTATATGTGTATATACCTTGTATATTAAAGCAACACATTTTCTGGAACTTAAAAATATTTTCTGGAATTAAAATATGTGTTGCTATAATATATAAGGGGACTTCAAAATGTTGGTGGCGAAATGAAATTTAAAAGGTACAGTCTTCAGAAAAAATATAGAAGAGATTATAGAGTATGTTTATAGAGAGAGAATTTCTGCTTCAAAACTAGGCCCCTTAAGACTAAAAGTATCTAAATAATTTAGATTTAGGACCTATTTAAATTCCCAGATGGCATCCATTTTTAAAGTGCCCTGTCATTTACAGGACCATTTTCTCTTAAAAGCATGCTGAACGTTAAGAAGGAAATGAGTATGCTGATCTCTTTTAAATATCTTTTATAATCCAACTTGAAGACACAGAACTAAAGGAGACATTCTTTTTCTAGCACAGCATCTTCAATTTTTGGCAAATGAAGAAACTGAAGCCCAGAGGATATGAGGGGCCGGGCAAAGAGATAAAGTTGCTTGATGGAAAGTGGCTGGATTAGAACTCTGCATAGAAGACTGTCCTATAATCCACTCTCCATTTTTCCCAGAAGCTAGCATCTGATACTTAAACTGAAGCAATTATAACTCCGTTGCTTTGCATGCAAAATAGAGAAACTTTTATATTGGTTATATGCATATTTATATTTTAAAACTGTGTTTTTCAGCAATAAAGTCTAATTCACTTAA